AATATCCATTTGCACTCTACAGCCTTTTTTCCTTAGGGTAAATGTACCGGATTCCAAGTATAATTATCATCAACAGTATTTATCTCCTCAAGCATAACATTACACCAACTAGGATGATTCAGAGCCTCCTTAACTGTTTTGAGTATAAAAGTTGAATCTATACAAGCAATTAAAGTACTAGATGAAAGAGACAGATGATCATATGATATAAAATTAACAATGCGATAAGTTGGCGTAGAAATAGTGCACTGATGTTTACCTTTACGAAGACCAATGGGAAGATCAAGATCCTGTGTGGTAGAATCAGGTGATGACGGATTTGGTGCAGGACATGTATAATTAGTTTGTTGTTTGTTGAAATAAACATAAACAATTGGTGGTGGTACTTAGGTTAGAAGCACACGAACACTATTATTAAACTTGCTCGAGTAGAGCTGGAGGCACATCATCTGGATAAGTACTTCTATCTGTTTACTCAGTAAAGGCACTTGGTGTGAACTTATGAATGAGCCACTTGTTGTCCACCTCCGGACTTGTAGACTTGGATGATGAGGAGAAGAACGGTATATTTTATGAAAAAACCACATTAGTTGATGCCAAATATTTATTGAGATGTGTAGAGTAACACGTGTATCCTTTCCGGATGCGAGCATACGCTAAAAATACACACTTCAAGGTCTTTAGGTCCAATTTTATCACAGTAGATCGCACATCTCGAACATAACAAGTACTACCAAATATCTTGAGTTGCACCAGAAACAAAGACTTGTTCGGAAAAATGAGACTTTAAGGAACATCCCTATCAAACATTATAAATGACATACGATTAATCAAGAAACAAGCTGTAGAAACAACATCAGTCCAGAATTGCTTAGGGACTTGTGTTTGGAACAACATGGCTCGAGTTGTCTCAAGTAAATGTCTGTTCTTACTCTCAACGATCCTATTTTGAGATGGTGTAGTTCTGAAATGAATCTGACATATATTTTTTAACATTATCACTTATTATATGTACAAAAACATTGAATTGTGTCTTGATTTCAGTATAGAAAGTACAAAAATGAGATAATACTTTCGAACGATTTCTCATTAAATATATCCAAGTCATGCGAGACAAAATCATCGACAAAAGTAACGAAATACTTGAAATCCAGTTTTGGATGGAGCAGGACAGGGACCCCAAACATCAAAATGAACTAACTCAAAAGTGGAGTCAGCTCATCTATTGACCTTTGGACCTGATGGATTATGGTGATATTTTGCAAACCGACATGACTCACAATCCAATAAGGATACATCATGAAACTGAGAACATATCTTTTTCAATACAAGTAGAGATGGATGTCCCAATTGACAATGTGTTTCAAATGAAGAGATAATACTAGAGCAGACAACTGATCGAGAAAGTATCAAGAACGTAAAGACCCTCTGACATATTTCTTTTACCAATAATCTGTTTCGTCATAAGATTTTGAAGAATACAGTGATCAGGAAAAAATGTAATTCAACAATTCAATTCTTTAGTAATCTTACTCATAGAAATCAAATTGAAGGCAAATTTAGGTAGACTTAATACAGATGACAGAGTAACAAATGACGTTGGTTTTGTGGTCCCCGAACCTACAATATTATATGTCGACCCATCAACAATAGTTATAGGAAAATGTGTTTTGTGTGGTCGAAAGATAGAAAAAATATTAGGATAACTTGTCATGTGATTTGTAACACCAAAATTAATCACCCATCTGTTTAAGGAGGAGATAAAATATTTTCTCTTTGATTCAGTAGGAGCAGAAAATATATTAAAAAATTCTTGATACGGAGTGAATTTAGTAATATTCATCAGCTGAAATCGTAACAATTCTCTCAAAAGATGAACTAATAGTAGCAGCAACAATATTAGCGGTCTGTCTCCTCTGATTGTGATTCTGCAATCTCTTACAGTACCGCTTTATATGCCTTATTTACGACAGTAATAACTGATAATATTATCATAAATTCTAATTCAGGAATTATAAAAAAATACCACTAAGAATACCAAAATCACAACAACCAGAGATATTCGAAAAACACTGTAAATATATCAGAAGATATGAGAAAACAGAGTACTTCTTCACGCACGAGTATCAACAATCCTACCAGGACCTCACTATCAACCATCGGAACCAGCGATGCCGCACCTGTCGTTGTCGGAAAGCCACGCGTTACCACCAAAGTTACACGCGATGTCGCCTGAAACCATCAAACAGTCTCCTTTCGGTCGGAAATCACCACAGAACTTCAATGTCAACCCTAATCTGGAATGACGCTCGTAGAAACACCCCAAATCGTGCCGGAGAGCAGATAATCGCTTGCTGTCACGCGATCTGCTCTACTGCGCCTTTTCCCTCTTCGGCCTTCTGGTTTCGTGCACAGAACCGGCTGACATAACTCCTCTGTTGCTTCTATCTGCGAAAGGGAACCCATAACGCACGAAAATGCTCTCCTTCGGCAATCCCGCTGCACACAGCCTCAAACCACCATGCAAACTGCTTCCTTTGCTTCTCCCGCGTACACCACCATACTAGCCGCACTCTGAACTGGCCGGAGATCGGTGATTGTCTTCCTCCGGCACCGAGAATGGGTTGTTCAACCCTTCTTTTGTTATAATGTGATTTGACCCCTAACATCCTAACCCTAACCCTAACTCTGATACCATGTAAAGGGTTAGGAAAGAAAAATACAGAATAATTCTTGTATTATTATTGAAATGAGAAGTAGAGATATATATATATACATGTAAACGGATTCATATATGGTAACCAATATAAATTATCCTAATTATTTTCTTAATAATTATGCTTACATATTTAGAAATATAATTATATTATTATGTATAGAGAATATTTTATAATATTCTAACAATTTTCTTTTCCATCCTGAAAAACATGTAGATATATGACTGTAATAGTAAATAGAATACACATGAAACCATTCTTAACACCACTCGGTGAACAGGTATTCATGGAGCCACATGAGCTTGTGTGGATGAACTGTAGCTTTCTTGCAACTCTCCAAGCTTGATTCTTTGGAAAAGCCAATTTGCTTTTGTTACACGAGTTCACATACTTCACAAACTCCAAAATGCTACACCAAGGTTGGTATTCCACCAACACCCTTTCTCTTAGGTCATTTTGTAATGGATTGCATATTGTTGTGTCCAAACCTTTGCAGCCAATAGGCAAAATTATCCGTCAATCCTACATGAACTAGTGCAAGATTTTTGTGTAAAGAGAAACTTCGATTGCTCATTTTTATAGCCAATAGTTATATCCATTAGGGTCTTCTGTAATGAACTATTCATTTTTAAATAGTAAGGAGTTGTTCTTTTCAAGCATTTCGCTAACACATTGCATTTTGATCAAGTTAGGTACTAAGAAAGAAGCATAAATAACTTGTGTACTTGATAGTCTCATTATTGTAGTGTCTCATTTTCCTTCATCGTTTTTCTCCACTACTCATATTGACCCTGGATATGTCGGATCTTTCGAGGTTTATAGACAAGACTTCATTTGGTGTCATGTCGCTACATCAATTATCAATCAATCAAAACATTGCTAATTAAGCTGGTCGAGTAGCAGGTGGCCACAAAAAGCTTTTCTACTGCTGCTCTCGACTTTAAACAACTAAAGTCTTCCGTTCTGGATCCCTTAGACTTGCATACTTTTTCCACATGTCCAAAGGCTTGTGCGACCTGCACTACGCACCAGGTTGGAAGTAATAAAAAACATAGGTCCCATAGACACCAGATTGGAAGTAATAAAAGACATAATACTTAAAGAGTAATTGATTTTTTCTTCCAGGTTGGACATGGAGAAAACTTATTCTTTCTTCTCTGTAGTTCTTACTGCCTTCTTGTTTCTCTTTTCCTGCTGTTTTGTTTCTAGCATTACTCCCTTGAATCTGCCTTTGTTCTTCATCACAAAAGCATCTTCTGTAATCTCATTCAGCCTCAGGTTCTCCTCTGTTTTCTTGCCTGTAAAGCATTTACTAACTTAGCCAAACACCTTTTATCCTTTTTTTTGTCTGCTAGTTCTTCTCCAAGTATTCTCACTTGTTTCACCACCACCTTCATCACTCTCTCAAAGATCACTTGTCCTAAGCATTTCAAATTCTCTTTTTAGGTTGGCACTTGTATCTGTTTTGTCTTTTCATTCATTTGAAATGCTTTTTTGATCCTGTCCCAAGTCTTCTTGTTGCCTATTCCCACAAATAACAGAACGAATGAAGGATAGAGCTTTAGAGTTTTTGGACATTTCCTTTGCATGATGCTTCATTTAGGTCATGATTGAGTTGGCTCTCAAGGGAGGAGGATTCCTTCTGATTCAACAGCCACCCGTAAATTGATGCCTTCTAGAGGAGCTTTCATCCTAGTAGCCAATAGTTGATAGTTCTCTCCATTGAAAAAAAGGAGGTGAAGCTGTTCCTATGCTGGAGGGGATATTTTTTATGAGGTTTTACAGCAAAAATTCCTTTCTCTCGGTCCTTCCAGGAAACTTAAGAGTTTGGATACCGTTCTTTAGTATTATGCCCCAGAAGAGAAGAAGTTGATGCAGAAAAAAATCAGAAATTACTTCATCAAAATTCCCTTAAAAATACATAATATTAAAGTGCCAAGGACAGCTAATACTGCCTAAACGGTAAAAACTACTTTGCTTATAGCCTTAAGTAATCTCAATATTTACATTATTCCCATAAAAAACTTGTCCACTAATACAAGTTTTAAGCAGCCAATTAACCAAGAAGTAAAAGACTAAACACAGATAACAGCAATAACAAGGTTTGCAGAAAAAATTTCAAAATCTAACAAGCCGTAAGCAATCACCAATAACTTTCAGAGGATTTCTTTCAATCATCTCAAGAGGACTTTTTTTAGGATTCATCATCTAGTCCAAGAACTAGTCAAACTATGTGACTACTACATCAAGGGACAAGGAGAGAGATATCAAGTGTTTCTTCACCTGGAAAGTAGTTGTCCCAGATGGGAGCTCCATGTGGGTAACTAAGCGGTCTGTGAAAGAAACTCTTTTTAAAGCATATAGTTCAGAGGTGTAGGTATTGCCAAGAATCAACCACCATGCTTCGTTTTTTATCTGCAAGAAGGGCAGGAAAAGGTCAAGTTTTCTGATATAAAGTACTAAGAATAACGTGCATTTTTACCTTTGGAAATCGAGGGGCAAAAGCCCTAGATG